ACTCTGCGAAATTATTTGATTTATACATTTTATCTAGAATGACAATATTTCAGTTATAACATTAAACTAATTGAGTTTTAGGTTTTAATCATTAGTTGTATACTTGGTGAGTAACCATGCAGTGTACGATACAGGGTGTCCCATGAAACATGACGGTTGACAGTTTTAAATGTCTACTTTCATGTACTGTATTTATAGATATAAAGACTTTATGCAGTTTATTTAGTTTTAAAAATCTTAAACTCAAATATGTTTTACTTTGAAATCAATTTTACATGTAATATGGCTGCCTTGAAATATTTATTATGCTCTTTGATACCAAACAACTTAACACATTTTGAAAGATGACATTTTAAACTATTCATCCACTGTCATGTTTCGTGGGACACCTTATACATACAAGCAACTGTCATGTTTCATGGGACACCCTGTCATAAAAGCCAGAAGCAACTGTCATGTTTCGTGGGACACCCTGTACAAACTAGGAACTGTCTTGTTTCGTCAGACATCATGTACTTTCAAGTAACTGTCATGTTTCGTGGAACACCCTGTACATACAAGCAACTGTCATGTTTTGTGAGACACCCTGTACATGCAAGCAACTGTCATGTTTCGTGGGACACCCTGTACATACTCTAGACCATTATTCTGTATTTAGACGTGACACCGGAATAAAGAATTAGTGTCGCCTCATTCAAATCATAAAAGCGGGAGAATAGCCAAACATTGTCGACTGGATGTAAAAAACAAAAACAAAGTCAGTAATTAATCAAATTCTGAAAAAAGGGATTATAAGATGTAAGTTTTCTTTTTGCCAACTTCCTAACTTTTCTTTAATTTTTGTTGTATTGAATCAATAATTTTTAATTTGTCTATTATTTATTTAGGGCCTAACATTTAATAAATGTCTATCATAATTATTTTAAAAATCAGTTGCCGGAAATAAATGAATAAAATAAAGAGATTAAATGAAAAGATGGTTGAGTTTGACATAGATTTCAGTTAATATACGAAGATAACAAGATAATAAGATAATAAATGATGATGTATCAATAAGATAATCAGATAATAGGATAATGATATATTAATAAAATAATAAGATTATAAGATAGTAAGATAATGAGATAATTAGAAAATAAGATATTATTAAAATGAGTTTATAAAATAGTTAAATAATTATAAATAAGATGATAAAATGATAAGACAATAAGATACTAAGATAATTAGATTTAATAACAAGAATATAAGATAAAAAGATATTAAGATAGTAAGATAAATAATGTAATCTCTATATATAAAGTAGAAATCTCTGTTTGTCCAGAACTCAGCTTGTTTTAAACATTCTAGGTTTAGTGTGTGGACTTTTGCAGCGAAAGTTTAGTTTCCAGGCAACGCTGGGTTTCCAAGCTAGGAAGCTAACTAGATAAAACTCCTTAAAAGTTTATTAATGAATACAGGGGGAGGTGTAAGGAAATATCAATATATGTTTATTTTAGTTTTTGGCTCTGGCAATGCACTTGGTTCGGGAACATTAACAGAAGAAAAGGGAAGATGGTTGATTTGTTAGGAAACATTAACATGGTTGATTTGTTAGGAAACATTATCATGGTTGATTTGTTAGGAAACATTAACATGGTTGATTTGTTAGGAAACATTAACATGGTTGATTTTTTAGGAAACATAAACATGGTTGATTTGTTAGGAAACATAAACATGGTTGATTTGTTAGAAAACATTAACATGGTTGATTTATTAGGAAACATTAACATGGTTGATTTGTTAGGAAACTTAAACATGGTTGATTTGTTAGGAAAAATTAACATGGTTGATTTCTTAGGAAACATTAACATGGTTGATTTGTTAGGAAACATAAACATGGTTGATTTGGTAGGAAACATTAGCATGGTTGATTTGGTAAGAAACATTAACATGAGTAGAGGGGAGATGGTTGATATGTTAGGAAACATAAACATGACCAGAGGGGAGATAGTTGATTTGTTAAGAAACATAAACATGAGTAGAGGGGAGATGGTTGATTTGTTAGGAAACATAATCATGAGTAGAGGAGAGATGGTTGATATGTTAAGATACATAATCATTAGAAGAGGAGAGATGGTTGATTTGTTAGGAAACATAATCATTAGTAGAGGGGAGATGGTTGATTTGTTAGGAAACATAAACATGAGTAGAGGGGAGATGGTTGATTTGTTAAGAAACATAATCACGAGTAGAGGGGAGATAGTTGATTTGTTAGGAAACTTCAGTAGAGGGGAGATGGTTGATTTGTTAGGAAACATAATCATGAGTAGAGGGGAGATGGTTGATATGTTAAGAAACATAATCACGAGTAGAGGGGAGATAGTTGATTTGTTAGGAAACTTCAGTAGAGGGGAGATGGTTGATTTGTTAGGAAACATAATCATGAGTAGAGGGGAGATGGTTGATATGTTAAGAAACATAATTATGAGTAGAGGGGAGATTGTTGGTTTTTTAAGAAACATTAATATGAATAGAGGAGAGATAGTTGATGTGTAAGGAAGCACTAAAATGTACTGAGTAGAAGGTAGATGGGGTAATGGTACAGCGTCTTATACGCAACATCCCTCCTACTGAACAATTCTGACCTACTAACTTTCCGACTTTCTGCAATATCGGACCTACGCCAGCAGCCAGCTGTTTATTTTTGCATTATTTGAGGGTTAAGTTAGGTTGAGACAATTTATGGGGCCGAGAGCTGCGGCTAGGACAGCTACTAAGGGGGCAAGCACCGCGGCTAGGGGCCTAGGGGGCCGCGGGTGCTGCGGCCACAAGTTCATATAAAAGCTGTAAAACAACGTGCTAGTAGGTCGAATGGGCAGTATAGCGGATTTGGAGTAGGTCAGAATTGGAGTATATAGCGGATTTGGGTATAGGTCGAAACCGGGAGATGGTTGATTCTTAGGAAATTGACAAGAGTAAAGGGATCGGATCTGGTTGAATTGTTAGGAAACATTGAGTAGAGGGGGATGGATGATTTGTTAGGAAACATCAACACGTGAGAAGATTGGGTCGACTTGATATCAACCAATAATGACGAAACGTCCCAATAAAATAAATTTGAGTTCCTGTGGGTAGCTTGTTACATCGTCTATACGCAACATCCCCCCTATTGAACTTCTGACCGAGGGGAGGAAGGCCAACTACATCAATCTCTATTCCGAACCACATTCTCATCATTTTCTCGTCCGAACCACATCGAAATCCTCGTCCTTTCAACATTATTTTTTTTAAGGGTCCGATCCTTGAAAATAAATACATTTTTTAAAAATATGGCGACGTTAGGGCATAGATGAAATATCAAATTTTCCCATGAATCAAATTTTAGATTTGTGTAAAAAAGAAAATGCTCCATAAACGATGTTCTACAAAAAAGCGTCTGTTTAAGGTTTATATTTTAAGGTATGTTAAGATGAAGGGGAAGATAGATAGATAGAAGATATAGATTGATCGACGATCTAGATAGATAGATAAATTTGACGTCCACAAATCTATCTATCTATCTTAACTATCTTCTGGGTGTCCCACGAAACATTACAGTATGCAAGACAACTTGAATGTCGTCTTAATTTTTTATATAGTTTGCTGCGTTTATTTGTCAACCTAATTTTAGAAGTAAATTACTAGAGACAATAATCACAAAATTCCCCTAGTCCTGCCACTTCCAAAATGTGGTCTGCCTTTTTTGTGCTTTCAATACTGCCTGAGATATGAAGAATTTCGTTCAGATTTCGACAATTTTGCTTTTATTTGACAAAATTGAAATCTGAACCAAACTCTTTATATCTTTCATGACGTCCTAAGGACGACTTCTGGTTTCTAGGGAACCCTATCGCCCCCTCCTTCTATTCAATATTTCCTTGCATATTTCTAAACATGATCTATACAATAATTATTAAATCTAGTGAAAGGCCAATTTGTTACAATTATAAATAACAGATATCATGAATCTGCACTCGAGCAGGGATATTTTCACATTTGGATTAATGACTGAATTGTTGACTGTTTTGAGGGTTGAAGTTGAAGATTGATGATTAATGCTAATCAGCTAAATCATGGAAAATTCTTTATTATTATACATAAAGAGCATTCCATGACTTAAAAAATTTCACAATTGTTATACAGGTCATGCAGATATCATCATGTAGAAACTTTCTGAACAAATTGAGCAGCGTGCTTACACCTTGAAGAAATGAATTAAACTGGCTAAGATTTGACAAATGAGCGTGCTTTTCAGCGGGTCCTCGTTTTTTATCATCCTTTTTGATTTCATATCAGAAGAAACAGTTTGTCTTTTCATCCTCAAAGTTCTTCAGATGGACTGATAAATTAGTTTTGATCCGACGATGGAGTCAAACTCCGACAGCAAACAATTGCAGACTAAAAAAAGACAGCTTTTAATCATCCGATGCCGGAGCTCCACAAAAAGACATTTGCGGATGAAAAAAAGAGCTCCGATCACAGTAGAAAATAAGAAAACGGTGGAAAGAAAAAATAATTTTCCAGCTGGGATCGTCGCCATATTTTTAAAAAATGTATTTGTTTTCAAGGATCATGGACACTTAAAAAGAATAATATTGAAAGGACGAGGATTTCGATGTGGTTCGGACGAGAAAATGATGAGAATGTGGTTCGGACTAGAGGTTGATGTGGTTGGCCTTCCTCCCCTCTCTAACCTACTAACTTTCCGACCTACTGCAATATCGGATATGTGTGACGTCACTTCCTTCTACAGACAACGTCGTCTTCGATTTGTAAAATCTAGAAAACTCTCAGCGGCAAACACGCAAATCGTGGAAACAATTTCCGCTTTGGATGGTGGTGAAACAATTCATGCTTTTAATTTAGTATTTTTGAATTTGAGCCTGATAATTCGCTTAAATTGTGTTGTTTATTTCTGTGATTTTCTAGGTGTGTTCTCTCTCTAGGCCCTCCTATTGCCGGAGATGTGATATTTTCTTTAGATCTTTGATTTATTGTTATTTTAATTTAAATTCAGATAGAAAAATGCCATCCAAGGGAAACCAGCTCATCCCTAATGGCCATTTCCACAAGGATTGGCAGAAGTAAGTTTATATTTATCACTTAATGATAAGAAGAGTGTAGTGCAGCCTGTTAGTTCTCTGTTAGTTTGTTAGATGCTGGGTAATTTCCTAGAGAATGATATTTGGATCTTAAATATGGTGAGTGTTCCGTCACATCAAGACGATGAAGTTCTGTTTATCCTCAGTAAGTCGTGAATCTGAAATAATTAATTACTAATCTAATCGGAAACGGATAAATTAAAGTGGTCATGTTCAAAATCGTTCTCTAGGACTCTCTAGGACTGACCCTAATTCCCTAGTTCTGCTGTAATTGATAAGGATTGGTGTCCCGACGCCCCTCCCTTGTTAGGATAATGATATGTAGAATACCGGGCTGCAGCACTCAGCCTCCCAACCGCAGGGTTGGCCAATAAATTTCATAATCCAACCTGTCTTTAGGACTGGGCCAATATGCTGCTGAGGAACAATTCAAAACCATTAGTTTTCTTGTACGTTGGTTCAAATATCTTATTGGGGTCTGATCCAGAGAACATTTATTTGTACGCTTACCCTCCCTTCCTTTCGATTTTATAAATGACCACCTATTTTTCTGCAAAATTATTAATTAATATGTATCAATTAAGAGTTAGGTTAAACCAATTTCAGAGCCGAGCGCTGCGGCTATAACAGGCTGGGGGGGCCGATTTCCGCGGTTAGGTCATGCTATGGGGCCGGGCGCTGCGGCCACATGGTCAATTTTATCCACGTCTTAAAATATTTTCTTGGTAAAAGGGTCCGTCCAAAAAACGTTCTCAAGGAAATTACCGTTTCTTTGGACCCACCCTTCATCCCATCCCATCAATATTGTACTTAATTATTATCACCTGGTTTAGCGTTCAGCCTGAAATTGTTTAAATCATACTAAATAATTATTAAATCTCAATCTGTGTTTCTTTACATCCTTATTTCTCAGAAAATTTATAATTGATTTAGTCTTAATCAGTAACAGCATTCAAAAATCACTTTAAAAAAAAGCCATTTTGCCATATGCCCATTAGGTTTTTAACACTTCTGTTGCTTAGAATACATAAAGTTTTTCCTCCTCAAAGGAATTAAATTAATTAAAAAGTATTAAAAGAGGCTTTTGTTCTGGTTTTTGTTAACCTTTGTCTTAACTACGATGTGGATGAAAGTTCGAGATATCCCTCATTTGCTCTTCCCTTATTGGGTCTGTCCTAGTGAACGATTTTTGGACCCCTCCCCAGGCCCCCCCTAATATCAATTTTGTATTTATTATTTTGGGTTAGGTTAGATTAAGACACTTTTTGGGGCCGAGCGCTGCGGCTAGGACAGGCTAGGGGGCCGAGCGCTGCGGCCACATGGTCAGTTATATTAATGTCTAACATATAAGATCCATGTACAAAATTGATGAGGGGCGGGGGGGGGGGTCCAAAAATCGTTCTCTAGGAATATACTAAATTATTTAATTGAATGCTGTTAAAGTTCCTCTTGTACAGGGCTTGCCCATTTCTACTTTAAAGCAATTTACGAAACTGTCTGAATTTTAACAATTTTCAAGGTACACATACTCGAGGGTTCTCAACTTTAAAATTCTAGAAGTTGTATGTAATATGTAATTGCATTCAGGTATGTGAAGACCTGGTTCAACCAGCCCGCCAGGAAGATCAGGAGGAGGGAAAACAGGGTTGCCAAGGTAGCTATTATTCATTTTCAAATCTTCTTCAAAATTTCAATGTGCGCTTATCCCCATAAAAAGGTATTTTGAAGAAAAAAAATTGTATTTAAGTAAATGCCAGTTTTGGGTTTAAGTTCTGTTCAAGTCTAGGGAGGTTTGAGGTTTTTAGTGACCTTTTGTCTCAACTTGCGATGTAAACGTCAAATCTACGCAAATCTGTTTCTCACGTAGAATCGCACCACTAGTTCTGAATATAGACTGGTAGGTCGGAAAGATGAGATAAAATATATTCAGTAAGAACTACTGCTACTACTACTTAAACCTAGCTAGGTTTCAGGTTTTAGTTCTTCTGATACAAATCTAAACGAGAAACTATTAGGATACCCAACTAATTTGAATCACGACGAGAATCAGAACAAATACCCTTTCCTCGAAAATATATTCCTTGATTTCAACACAACTTGGACTCAAAATTAACCCGCAGCTAGTATTTGACATATTTGTTTTTAGAGATAAGTTGTATTTGTGGAAGGAAAAAAATCTATGAGAGGAATGACAATTATCTATGGTTTAAACCAGAAAACTTAGGAATAGAAAGTTTACTTTTAGACCAAGTTATGACTTTAAATAGTCCAATGGACATGAGGCACGGAAATTTTGTAGTGTAAACAGACCCATTTCACTATTCAAGTGATTTGAGAACTCAAAACTTAATACCTTGACCATTTAATTTATTTATTTATATATAAAATATTTCTAGGCTGCCCTTGTTGCTCCCCGTCCCCTGACCAAGCTCCGCCCCGTGGTCGCCTGTCCCACCTTCAAGTACAACATCAAGCAGAGGGCTGGACGTGGGTTCACCCTGGAGGAGATCAAGGCTGCTGGATTCAGCAAGAATATCGCTAGGACCATGGGAATCGCAGTCGACTTCAGACGCAGGTTACATTATATAATTGTATTAGGGTGAAACGTTTTTTGAATATTATCAAATTTATCTTGCATCAGTTCCTAAGTTGTTTTGATACCGTTTAGATAATTAAATATTTTTGATACCGTTTAGATAATAAAATATTTTTGATACCGTTTAGATAATAAAATATTTTTGATACCGTTTAGATAATAAAATTTTTGATACCGTTTAGATAATAAAATATTTTCAATTTTAGTTAATTTAGATTTTTGTTTGTGGTAAAATGTTAGCCAGCAAAAAATCGTCAAAATAAATCAAAATGTCCATCTTCAAAGCCTCAAAAATCGTAAAATTAAACAAAAGCGGATTTTAAAAATCCAACTATTTTAACACCAAAAAACTGAAAGGGGCGGTATTAAGCGGTCGCTTTCAACACCAATTTTAACATCACGCTTATTTGCTTTAAAAATGTCTCTTATTTTCTCTTGAAGACAAAACACACTGGTAAACATGCGTGAGATTGAAATGTAGCTGCTTACATATTACTACATCAATCCAGTGCTTAGGATCTGGATCCGTTCGATCTTTAAGATTTTAGGGGCCAAAAATCAACCAGAAACTGCAAAAGAAATGTCCATTTTAAGACCCAAATCTAAAGAGATATTATTAAAATTTCCTGATTTCTGAATGTAAATTAAGTTTAATATTAATAGGCGAAAAAATTAAAGTTTGAAAATTCTGTTTGTTATAAAAATCGATAATTTTAAAGAAATAACCTGGATCCGAATCCATTTTTTTCCAGTGTGGATCCGGATCCGCATCGAAATTAATTGAACCCTTAGCACTGCACTAATCCCAAGTTTCTTTGAATTCCGTTTGAATTATAAGCTTTTTTTATGGAACAATTTAAAAATGTAAATGAACCTCCAATGAAAGATTCAGGATCTTATTAAATCTTGGTTCAAAACGTATCATTGTATCAAACTGATAATTTAAGTTAAAAAAGATTCTATTTAAAAAATTTTAACTCAAAATGTGATTTATGCAGGAACAAGTCCGTTGAGTCCCTGCAGTTGAATGCCCAGAGGCTGAAGGAGTACAAGAGCAAGATGATCTTGTTCCCCTTGAACTCCAAGAAGCCCAAGAAGGGAGATGCTACCCCTGAGGAGATCTCCAAGGCTACCCAGCTTTCTGGAGAGGTTATGCCACCCAAGCGTGTCGGTAAGTAAAATTTGTCTTTGATTGTTTGATTTTTTCCTTTCGTATATATTCTAAAACTCATTCCTTTCCACCGAAATGTCAATCCATAAAAAACGTTCTCAATTAATACCCCTGTTGAAGTTGAGCTTTTAAAAGATGTAAAAACTTTTATATTTTCACAAAAGGGCGTTGTATATTCATTGATTCCCCCCCACAACACACCCAACACATCCCAAAAATCTTTTCTCGATTTATAATTTCAGCAATTTAACTATTTCCCGGTTTAAAAAAAAAACTTAAAAGTATTTTTAGATTTTTTAATTTCTCTGTTTTTAGTTAAGAGGATCCGTGCTATGCCTATTACTGATGATATGAAGAACTTCAAGGCATTCCAGGCCATCAGACAAGCCAGAGCATACAAGCGTCTCCACGGCATGAGGTATGACTTAGTTTTTCTGAATGTTCAAAGCTGGCGAATATGGATGCTATATCGTTTGCACTAATGTCCGATTGAACTAACGTACTTATGCCACAAAGCCAGCTGATCAGTAACCGGTTTTTAGTACGATCTAACATTAGTGCAAATGAACAAAAATCGGGTTTTCTGTGTTCAAATGGACTAAAATTTTATTTTCCCGCCAGGAATATTTTATTTTCCCGCCAGGAATATTTAGTACAAATGTGCATTAGTGCAATTGATCTGGAATACTAAAAATATTTGTTCAAGCGCACTAATTTTTTTCTGTAAATATTAGTGCAATTGCACATTAGTGCAAATGAACATGTCCAAACAAATATTTTTCAGACGGACTAATTTTTTTCCTGTAAATATTAGTGCAATTGAACGTTATAGTGCAAATGAACTTCGATTTTAGTTCGATTTGAACATTTTTTGTTCATTTGCACTAAAATATGTTTTGTATTAATAATATTTTATGTGCAAATGGTAAAATTTTAGATTTTAGTTAGAATTATTGTTCATTTGCACTAAATATGTTCATTAGTACTAACATCGATTTTACCGGAACTTTTAGCTTTAGTTCAATCGAACATTTTTTGTTCATTCCCACTACAATATGTTCACTGGAACTAATTAATTAAATGAACCGAATTCCGGGAGAATTTTTATAAATAGTTCTCCACGTGCTCAAAAAACCTTCCATGTGATTTTTAGTTTGATTGAACAATTATAGTTGTTCAGTCGTATTAAACGTTAGTCCGAATGAACGTTAGTGCGAATGTACGTTAGTCCGATCAATCATTAGTGCAAACGATACCGACACCCGAATATGGGATTCAAAAACCGCATAATTTACGGTACGGTACGGTACGGTACGGTACGGTACGGTACGGTACGGATGCTTTTGTCTTGCATATACTAAGTGTTAAATTTACTAGAAGATTGTTTCGATTTTATTGTATTATATAATTTGTCAAGCTTATTTTGGTGGCGAAACGGTGACTATTTTTTCCCGTGGTTCGCTAATTTCTTAAGTGCGGACAATTAAAGCCATTTTTTGGACTTTCTTTGAATATTTTCTGGTTCGACGCAATATGATATTTGACGCATGTATTGTTCAGGCTGAAGAAGGCAGCTGACGCTGAGGCTGATGAGATCTCCAAGAAGAAGTAAACAAACATTAGTGTTGAAATCCTTGAAAATAAAGAGTTGGCAAACAATCTATTTTTTTGTGTGTGGAAATATTTTATGAAGACTCCAGTGTTTTTTAAACTTAAAATCCAGAAAGTTGACGAGTAATAATTACTTCCTAGTGCTATTTAAGTTGTAAGGGTGATTGAGAAAGACTAGCTTAAGAGAATGTGAGGTTTATGTTATCCAGTAAAGTTAACAAATGGCCAGAAAATGAAGCATTCAAAATCGATGGAATTAAAGATATATTTCGACATTGTATTTAAAATTTAAGCAATCTCCGTTTAGTTTTCGAATAGATAAGCAAATTTTTGTCCATTGACGACAAAGTGAGCTTAATAAATTAATCTAACTAAATTTTGTGAACATTTTTTATACCTAGATTGGCCTTGGAAGTCATAAGCCTCCACATTTTCGTCTCCCATTTTGTGATATTTGGCTTATATACTACAAAATTTCTTTTTTTCAAAGTAATCTCAACCTGAGAAAATAGTTGAATTGTGATTGAAAATTTTTTTCTTCAAAATTTTAACTTAAAAAGTTGGAGCTATAGCAGTTTTTTTTAAGAGAATTTTTTTATTTTACAGTTGTATACTTGTACGAATCAAACAAAAAGTTGTCAAATGAATAAAAGAAAATTTGATCTTACCAGATTAAACGATTCTTCAATCTTAAAAACCACTTAATGGTCAATGAAAGTTACAATTCATGACGATAAATAAAAAATATTAATCTAAAGTAAAACACTTGAGCCATGAGTGGGGGAATCAAGACCGCCACATCAACATCCCTTCCATGTCACATATTAGCTTTTTTGTCTTCCGGCAGCCATGAGCCACAACCGTACGGTCTTCCATGCCACTTTATTTGAACCTTCCGGCAGTTATTACGTTTTTCAATAATAAATTTAGTGCACTGAAAATTTAATCTTTCCTCTAATGGCTTATTTTTGAAAACATGAACAATAAAAATTATGCACCATAACATATCGCCCTAGTTCGAAGGGCGACCTTAACCGAAAATTTGCACTATGTAACGAGAAAATTGCAAAGTGGAATTTTTTTGAGGAAATCTATAACTCTCGGATATTGACAGTTACTATTGTGATTTTTCTCATCTTTTTCTTCTTCTTATATTCTTATACGTATACCCCAAACAATTTGTCTCGGTGCCCATGCAATAACCTTATCAACAGGATGTTTTAAGAGCAAATATTTATATTTGGGGGCATTCTTTTCAGTTTGGGTCAAATTTGTGTGAGAAAAGTTTTAGACATGTTTGGGGGCAATTTTTTCAGTGGGGAAAATCTTGAATATTAACTTTAAGGGCATTTTGTTTTGTAAATTATTAAAACTTAAGGTCTACTTCTTTGTGTTGCAAAGATATAGAGAATAGAAAATCAGAGTTTTTGGCTAAGGCTCAAATCCATTAAGTCTGGTGGGGCAATTTTAATTAGAGTGTGAGTGTAATTTTAGAAATCCAATAATTTTGCGGGCTATTTTTTAAATATTGGGGGCAAAAATAAAAAGAATCCTGTACTAGCTTATATTGAAAAATGTTAAAATGGAGTTTTCTTGAGTTGGGGGGGATTAACTGAGTTTAGGTTTTATAGACAAAAAATTACTGTGGGATCATATTTTTTTTAAGTTGAGTATAAACAATTTCTTGAAAGTTGTGGGCAATAAATATTTTTGGAAACCATGCATATGGATCATATGGACCCCCTGTTAATGACTTCTAGCCCGCAGGGGGGCAAGTCTTAAATTGGGGCTTGCCTCTCCACTCCTTAATTAGGCTAGAAGGGGGGGGGGATTGTCCCCTTTTATAGTTGCGCGCCTGCTTATAACTTTGTTGAAGCACAATAGTTACCTGCACAGGCTTTTTTTGTGTAAAGTTTTCTTTAGAATATTTACTTGAAAAAATATATTGACCATTTCAAAATATTTTTAATCTTTTTAGTTAAATATTTCATTTAAATTTTGTACTTTTTTTTTAATTGTGACTTTCGACTTTTTTGGTGTAAAGAATTGTTTTGTTCCCTTATTTATTTATTTTGTATCGGGAACTACGGTGGTACAGTATACAGTGAACCATTATTCATTAATCATTCTAGTCCTTTTGATGATACCATAATCTTAAATAGAGAGTATATTGAGAAAAGCCATTTGTTAACCTTGTGATTTTTGTTCATCCAATTTTGTAAAAGATACTCATTTGATTTTTTAAGAAAAGTTTAAAGAAGAAGAATTTTAAACAAACACTTTACAAGTTTGAAGACGACAGAGAAATCAATCAACGACAGTTTCGCGCCATATTTTAACAGATCACCGACTGTTCCTAAATTTCCCGGCATTTTAATTTAAGTTTTCAGTTGTTAATTTTCTCGGTCCAAACTTCCAACATAACACGCCGGCCGATTTGAAGATTTTTTTCACAATATTTATGTGATATACGTTGATTAGTGGGTGTTACAGGGTCTGTCCTAAGCAGCGCTCGGCCCAGAAAGTGTCTTAACTAACCTAACCCGTGGCCGCAGCGCTCGGCCCCCTAGCCCATCCTAGCCGCAGCGCTCGGCCCAGAAAGTATCTTAACCTAACCTAACCCTAAATAATGCTAAATAAATACTGATTTGGTCATGTACAAAATTGATAGGATGGCAGTCATTTTAATGTTAAATTAGACTCCGTTTACATGTATAATTTCTGATGAAATTTGAAATCCTTATTTGAATAATCGTTTCTTAGTATTCGGACGTGGTTTAGCTGTTTTATCAAGTAGATTATCTCCTTTACTTTCATGCCAGGCTAGGACACTTTCAGTTTTAACCCCACACACCTCTTTCCTTTCGTCTCTCAATCCGATAAACCAATTTTCTGGTAATTTTCGTCCATATCTCAGAAGAATGTCAAGCGGGGACGAGTACAATGACGATCCGCCGGTGGTCGCGGCCCCTAAGCCGAAAGGAGACAAACGTCTGTCTGTGGAGCGGATATATCAGAAGAAATCTCAGCTTGAACATATTCTTCTCCGTCCGGACACGTATATCGGTTCAGTCCAGCCGGTTACTGAGCCTATGTGGGTTTATGAAGACGAGAATATGGTGAACCGTGAGGTGACCTACGTCCCTGGGTTCTACAAGATCTACGACGAAATCTTGGTCAACGCCGCGGACAACAAACAGAGGGATCCCAAGATGGACACAATCAAGATCGATATAAAACCAGAGGAAGGTGTGATCTCTATTATGAACAACGGGAAAGGAATCCCCGTAGTGATGCACAAGGAAGAGAACATGTTCGTACCGACCATGATTTTCGGCCATCTGCTGACATCGTCCAACTTCAACGACGAAGAGGAGAAAGTTACCGGCGGTAGAAACGGTTTCGGCGCAAAGCTCTGTAATGTGTTCTCCACCAAGTTTACGGTCGAAACAGCAGATAAGAAGGCCGGGAAGGGGTTTAAGCAGACATGGGCCAGCAACATGAGCAAGGCGGGGGAGCCCAAGATAAAGGATTTCAACGGGGAGGAGTACACCAAGATCACCTATAGCCCCGACCTCAAGAAATTCAATATGGAGAAGATTGATGATGATACTTTTGCGCTTTTCTCAAGAAGGTGATAATAAAATTAGCTCACATCTTGATTAATCAAACCCATCAAACTCATTATACTCCAATAGGAGTCCTGAGAATCAATACCACATAAACATAAACATAAACCCTTGTACCATTCATGATTACACATCTAGATTAATCAAACCCTTTTGCCATTCATGATTACACATCTTGATTAATCAAATCCTTGTGCCATTCATGATTACACATCTTGATTAATCAAACCCTTGTGCCATTCATGATTACACATCTCGATTAATCAAACCCTTGTGCCATTCATGATTACACATCTTGATTAATCAAACCCTTGTGTCATTCATGATTACACATCTTGATTAATCAAACCCTTGTGTCATTCATGATTACACATCTTGATTAATCAAACCCTTGTGCCATTCATGATTACACATCTTGATTAATCAAACCCTTGTACCATTCATGATTACACATCTTGATTAATCAAACCCTTGTGTCATTCATGATTAAACATCTTGATTAATCAAACCCTTGTGCCATTCATGATTACACATCTTGATTAATCAAACCCTTGTGCCATTCATGATTACACATCTTGATTAATCAAACCCTTGTGTCATTCATGATTACACATCTTGATTAATCAAACCTATGTACCATTCATGATTACACATCTTGATTAATCAAACCCTTATGCCATTCATGATTAAACATCTTGATTAATCATTCATGATTACACATCTTGATTAATCAAACCCTTGTACCATTCATGATTACACATCTTGATTAATCAAACCGATAGATTTAAGCTTATTAAGTAAAGATTAAGTTAACAAGCAGGTTTTTTTGTTCATGATCATGAAATGTTAAATTAAATATAATGGAACATTCACAAAAATAATTTTATTGGGACGAAATGTTTCATATTTATGTTTCTTGAAATAAATATCAAATTTTTTATCAAAAGGTATCATAAAATTCTGTCAATATCAAATAAAATTTCATCTTTCTTTGTTCAGAGCCTTCGATATAGCAGCGTCTACTAAAGGTGTGAAGGTATTCCTAAATGGGAAAAGGTTGCCGGTGAAAAGTTTCAAAGATTATGTGGATCAGTATATTAAGGTAAAAAGAGGTGAAAATTAATTCTTGAGATAAAAAAAATTATTAGTCGATAGAGTAACATCCCCCCCCCCCCCCCCCCCCCCTTTTTTAAAATTTCATTATTGTTAGGTATTGAATTTTAAGATAGTTTGAAAGGATAAGTTCTTTTTTTAAATAAGACCTAGGTTGCCTTTTTTAATGATTTTTCCCGATTTTAAGTTGTAATGTTTTTGCGGAGCACCTTTTTTTCAATTCTATTCGCTAGACTGGGAAAAAATAAAGGATTTTAAAAATAAATTTTTTTGCAGTTTTTTGTTGACATTTTGCCCCTTGAATCCGGATCCATGAAGCCAAAATGGGATCCGGATCTGAAGCACTTCACCAGAGCATGGCATCGAAATTAATTCCCCTACTAGGAACCTTAATTATAACAACCTTCTTCTTGATCAGGGTAAAGAGGACGAGTCTGGTAACCAGATAAAGTGTATTCATGAGGCCTGTGGACCCAGATGGGAGGTGGCAGTTTGTGTCTCAGACAAAGGGTAAGGTTGCATCATCCCAACATGTATTCAATACTACCGCTTATATACAGTAATAACCAGAAAACTGTAGGATAGAAAGACTAGAAGTTGTTACTAAGCATTTAGCTTTACTAGTAAGTTATTAAATCATTTGTTAGGTGAAATGGATCTGTTTAAACTGCACTAGTACTGTGCCTCATTGTTTATTGGACTATTTAAAGTCATAACTTGAGTCTAAATGTCGACTTTCTATTACAGAGTTTTCTGGTTGATGTATTTTTTTCGGTCAGTTTTGATTCCCTTAATTAGAGTTCGATACTCCTCAAATTAGAGTTCGATACTCCTCAAATTAGAGTTCGATACTCCTCAAATTAGAGTTCGATACTCCTCAAATTAGAGTTCGATACTCCTCAAATTTTTCAAAATTCTTTTCTCCACTAAAGCAAGCGTTTTAATAAAAAAATTATCGTCAGTTTAAAATCGTAATAACCTTACAAGAAGATTAAAGTTTACCAAATGCTTTAAAAATTAGAAATTGAACAATTACTGGACTTTATGACCTTCTTCACAGGAAAAAAATAGAAAAAAAGTGGAAATTATCAGAGCTGGAATTAAAACATTTTTTAATAAGTGTGTAAAATCAACCAAACTTTTTATCCAGGTTCCAGCAGATGTCCTTCGTGAACAGCATCGCTACGACTAAGGGCGGGAGACACGTCGACCACGTGGCCGACGCTGTTATCAAGGCGATCATTGATAAGATCAAGAAGAGCAATAAAACCGGAATCAATATTAAAAATTTCCAGGTTTGACATTTTTAAATTCAAAAATCTAAATTATCAGCATATAACTATAATTAAAAATTGATTTTATTGACACATTTTCATCTTATGTTATCATATTTTATGAATTCAAGTTGTACTAGAAGAATTAACAAATTTTGAGTAAAATTAAACAAAGGAACAGAATGAATTCCCGTTTTCTTTCTTAGATCCTGCCCATAATGCCCCGAAAATTTAAAAAATACTTTTACGAAAAAACAAAAAACCGCTAATTATTTGGTTTATTTTTCCCCCACTTGAATCTGGATTCAAATATCTAAAAGATGTTTCATTCTGAACACTTTTATTTTAGGTTAAGAATCACTTGTGGTTGTTCGTGAACTGCTTGATCGTGAACCCAACCTTCGACTCCCAGACCAAGGAGACGATGACCCTCGGGGTTAAGGATTTCGGGTCCAAGTGCGTTCTCTCCGATAAGTTTCAAACTTCACTGCAAAAGGAATATTCATCTAACAATTAATTTTACAACATATTAAACAATTATTTTAAAAATCATCCAAGGCCGGGCTATAACAGAAATGTGTCCGGGGGGGGGGGGGGGCCCAGCACCTATTGGGGCCTTTGCAGCATTTTCCCTCTCAATTTTGGAAATGTAATTCCAAGGTACCCTCCTTGCAAAGTTGGAAATGTAATTCCAAGATACCCTCCTTGCAAAGTTGGAAATGTAATTCCAAGATACCCTCCTGGCAAAGTTGGAAGTGTCCGATTCACAACAGTGCAACTAAAAGCGTTTTCTGGTCAAGTATGATTTAGATATTAATGATTTTTATATTAAAAACTTGGGTTCTCTTCAAAAGAGACTTGTATATTTCTAACGGAGGAAAACGTATTTGAATTAGTAAAATTAAAACTCGAGAAAAATTAAATTATTTTCCAGATTATTGACATGAAAGGTTGCCAAGCGCACTGTTGTAAAGTTTATATTATGCCTACAATCCCTTTAAGTAATTATTTATTTTTACTCTAGCGGTTTTTTTTACATTTTATCGAATTTAAATGGAGGCAAATTTTTGAAATTTTAATCATCCATAATCTTTCACACAAAATTTGGGCCCAATCGGTTCAGCCATTTTGACACTTATTGAATTCAATAATATGTATGTTACTTGAATACTGTGTACTGTATAGTCTGGTATTATTGAGTCTGTAGTAGCCTGGTCCAAGTTCAAGGCTGACATGAAGTTGAGCAGCAAGGCCGGAGGCAAGAAGACCTCTAAACTCCGCGGAATCGCCAAGCTCGAGGACGCCAACGAGGCCGGAACTAAGAATTCAGGGTAACAACATATTTTACGTTTTTCTCTTCTCAAGTGTGACATCTTTTCCCGCAGCATACAACAAATATTGAAAATGGGGGTCACTTTTTAATTCTTTATTCTTCAACCTAATTATCTTATATTTCTAGTGGTTGTACTCTGATCCTAACTGAGGGAGACTCTGCTAAAACTCTGGCTGTTGCTGGACTTGGTGTCATTGGTAGAGATTACTACGGAGTTTACCCGCTCAAGGGTAAACTTCTGAACGTACGCGAAGCGACCCACAAGCAGATCCTCGAGAATAAGGAGATCAACGATCTGGTGAAAATTATCGGTTTAGCGTACAAGAAGAAATATGAAACTATGGAAGATATAAAGAGTCTGAGGTAAGAAAACCCCCAGGGTGTATATTTCCTTAAAAAAATTCCCCCCCCCTCTTTTTGAAAACATTTTTTATCGCAGACTGAAAGTGCGTTTGCGGGGAGAACAAATTTTCGTTAGTTTTATTTTTTACCATAAGTGAAAATTACAAATTTTTGGTTGCGAAGAAGGAATTTAAAAAAGGTTAGTTGTACAAAAAAAAATCAAAAAATTTCCAGGATTATAATATATATATACAAAGCTCCTTTTCTCAAAATTAAAATTTTTTTTGCCCATGGGGAACGGCGGCCTTTTCAGCTAGTATAAAATAAAATTAAATTCTATTTAATTAAATAAATGGGGAAATGTCTAACAAAAATAAATGTTAAGTTTTGAATATGAAAAAAACCAGAAACCTTTCAAAATGAAGTTTTTAACAGGAAAAAATGTTTTATTGTTAAGGTACGGTAAAGTGTTGATACTCCTCAAATTAGAGTTCGATACTCCTCAAATTACAAACTTTGCGTAAATTATTTAGCTGGTTGAAACAAAGTTATGTTGGTGGATTTACATGAAATTTCGTAAAAAAAATTAGTAAAAGTCCAATTTCAAAATTCGAAGTAATTCTTAAATTTTCCCCTAATGCTAATTTAAATATTTTGTTTCTGAAATATTGTGATTAGGGTCTAGTGATCAACTTTATCCATCACAATTGGCCTGGGCTACTCAAACTACCATTTCTAGAGGAGTTCATCACACCCATCGTTAAGGTAAGTCACTACAGGTCACTTATGGTCACTCATGGTGATTCATGTTGACTCTTGGTAACTCCTCAATCATGTTTACTCATGATCACTCATGGTAATTTATGATAACTCATGGAAACTCATGGTAAATCATGATTACTCATGGTAACTTGTGTTCACTCAAGGTTACTCAAGTCATTTAGGTCATTTGAGATCATTTATGCCACTTGATGTTATCAAAAGAAGGGTCAAGGCATGGTACGTCACTTGAGGCGGGTCTTTTATATGAGATGTCAAATATTTGTCGGTATAGTATAAGGCAATTTATAAGAGGTCGTTTAGTTTAATGACATGTAAAGCCATTTCTAGGAGGTTTTCAAGTCATTTTATCATAAGTTCTTTTCTATGAGGTTTTCAAGTCATCTCAGTATGGTAGTTCATTTCTAGGAGGTTTTCTAGTCATCTCTAGTGTGATTGTTAATTTCTAGGAGGTTCTCTAGTATGAGAGTTCATTTCTAGGAGGTTCTCTAGTATATACATATTCGGTCTGCCATGAATCTAATTTATTTTTTCGAATTAAACAATTAAACTTACTAAAAATTATTGTTTTTAAGAGTGGGTTATGATTTCTGGGTACAATTTATACATTTTATAGGTCTGGGAACCTCGACAAGTAAGGAGGCTAAAGAATACTTCTCTGATATGGTCAGACATAGGATTAAGTTCAAGTACAACGGTTCTCAGGTAAAATACGGTTTTCAAACGTTTTAAAATGATCATCTTAGTTTTTCCTTGATCATGAAAAAAAAAACAAAGATTAATTTGTCTACCATCATTGGAGATTTCCAAAGAAAAAAATACATGACAAACCATGGGGTCAAGTGTTGTCCTAAAGAACGGGTTCTTTTTTTCAAGAAAGGTCCAAAAACCAATCACTTGGGGTTAACTAAAGACTATTAACCGACTTAAAGTGTTTTTTTTTTTTTACTGGATTTAGAGAAAAGATAAAGCTTAAAACGAATTATTTATTTTTCGCGTCATTTTTTTGCGAAATTGTGTCTTTTTTCTCCTTATTTGTTATGCTAATGCGTCAGGTTAAAAAATTCTTTTTTTCCAGGACGATCACTCGATTACCCTGGCGTTCAGTAAGAAGGAGATCGAAGGTAGGAAGGAGTGGTTGACCACCTGGATGGAGGAGGGGAAGAGAAGGAAGGAGCTCGGACTCCCCGAGGTATACCTCTACGAGAAGGACACCAAGGCGGTCAACTATACTGACTTCGTGAACAAGGAGTTGGTTCTCTTCAGCAACATGGACAACGAAAGATCCATCCCAAGGTATTTAGCAGTAAGCAGTGCTTAGGATTCAAATCTTTTCATCTGGATCTGGATCCGGATCCGCCCTGAAAAAAAATATTAATCCGGAGTGAAAACCGGATCAAGATTTACTTGATTTTTAAATCAAAAATGTGTTTATTAAAAAATTGTCATATTTTCGTTTTTTGTGTTTTACTTTTAACTGTAAGCTTTCAAAGATTTGAAGTGTTTTCTTCAATATAATCTCCTTTCACTAAGTTCATGTTTTGTTTTGGGCGCAAGTATTTTTTGAAAGCATTTTTTAATAATCAACTTGCATGATTTTAAAAAATTAGTTTTGTTTGTTGATCAAATCGGCATCGCCAGCTTTAAAAACATTTTTTTTTTCAGTGTATTGTTAAAGTTGTGCCTTATTTTTCTAAGAATAAAATTTTGCAAGTCAAAGAAGAAACCATTTTTGGTTCACTTTCTTTTTGGTTTTTTTTTTCAACGAAAATTATTGTTATAAGCTTCCATAACAAAGCAACTGATAACAAATAATAAATCTATTTTAAGTTTGGTTGATGGATTTAAGCCAGGTCAACGTAAGGTTGTATTCACCTGTCTCAAGAGGAATCTGACCAAGAAGGAGATCAAGGTGGCCCAGCTCGCCGGTAGCGTTGCCGAGGTCAGTCTTCACATTTTCTTTAATTATTCCATTAAAAACCAAATCTTATTTTCATTATTTCTGAGATTTTTGAACTGGTTTTCCCACGGAATTAGGGAAAATAATGCTTTTATTTGAGCAATAGTTTTTAAAAAGGGGAAAAATCTTAACCGACACGGTCTAACATTTTAATTAATGACTTTTTTAACCATTTTGTTCTTCCCAAATCAACAAAAAAAAATCATACTGAAAAATAAACATCCCTGAATTTTTTCAAGAATGAAAACAGATTTTCATTTCATTAATTTTAAGAGTGTTATTGTTTAGATATCTGCCTACCATCACGGAGAAGCTTCCTTGATGGGAACTATAATAAACTTGGCGCAGAACTATGTTGGATCAAACAATATTAATCTTCTCCAACCCATAGGTCAGTTGATATAACGTTTCTCAGGGATATTTATTTAGCATACTCAGCCCCCCCCCCCTTTTTAGTCGTCAATTTTCTATATGTTGTTGCAGTTTGAAATATCAACAAGTGTTTGCAAAAAAATGAAAGGGGGTATAGGTGAGTGTTGACATCGAATTGAATTCGACTATTTTTAATACTTGATCTGTTGCGTCTATAAGAAGAAAATTGTAAAAACTACTTATACCGTAGAGCGTAGGACTTATACAAAATCACGGATATGCCTAATTCCACTCAGATCGTAAATAATTCAATTTTGAAAACTACTCATTCAGATATTACAGCCTACAATTGTCTGATTCAATTCTATTCATGATAGTTGATATTTCATAATATTTTTAATTAATATTTTGCTTAAAACTTATTTTCACGATCTGAGTGGAATAATGCAACTCAGCGAATTTGAATGGATGCTACGCTCTTGGGTAACGCAACAGATAGAACTATACCCCTTTCATTTTCAGCACACACTCCCTTTAATATAATTTTTATTTAAGGCAGAATATTAGTGTAGGTTATTTATGCATATTTATTTTGGAAGACCTTTTAATGCCAATAAATTGGCTTCGATCGGATGTTGATAATGTCAATGCTCATCGTGATCGTGATCGTGATCGTGATCGTGATCGTGATCGTGATCGTGATCGTGATCGTGATCGTGATCGTGATCGTTATCGTGATCGTGATCGTGATCGTGATCGTGATCGTGTTCGTGATCGTGATCGTGATCGTGATCGTGATCTCTTTATCTTGATCTTGGTGATTAGGTCAGTTTGGAACGAGATTGCAGGGAGGAAAGGACTCTGCATCTCCTCGTTATATCTTCACCCAGCTCTCCCCCCTCGCTAGACACATCTTCAATGAGGCGGACGACGCCCTGCTCAACTACCAGCTCGACGACAACCAGAAGATTGAGCCCGAGTGGTATATACCGATTCTACCGATGGTACTTGTCAATGGAGCCGATGGTATCGGTACAGGATGGATGACGAAGATACCTAATTATAATCCTAGGTAATTATTTACCAATTCTAGCATTTTTTGTTCGAACTGTATAGTGTATACGTCATTTTCAGTGACCCTCCATTTATAGCTGATTTGATATTTTCTCTTGAAATAAAAAATATTTTTAATTTACGAATAATATTTCTATCTAGGGAGATAGTGAAGAACCTAAAGCTGATGATAGACGGAAAGGAACCCAAGCCCATGATTCCGTGGTTCAAGGGGTTCAAGGGAACCATCGAGGAGATAGATTCCCAGAGATATGCTGTATCAGGGGAGATATCAACGCTATCAGATACAAAGGTCGAGATCACAGAATTGCCGATCAGGTCACCAGTTATTTTTATTCTGGGGGGTGCTACTCTATAATTTATTGAAAATTAAAATTAAATTTAAAAAATTTTTCTCATATGTTAGATATGTTTGCTCGGAACCCGACCCTTTTTTTAAGGTTTTATTCACTCAATTGGGAAAAATTTATGGGTTTTTTGTGGTAAATAAATAGAATTCAAGAAAGCCACAAAAGTTGCTGATTTTATTTTTTCATTTTTTCAGAACCTGGACAAATTCGTACAAAGAGTTGTTGGAAGGTTTACTGAACGGGACGGAGAAACTACCCGCCGTCATCTCGGATTTCAAGGACTACAACACGGACAGGACCGTTAAGTTCATCATCACGATGGATAAGGTTGGTCTTCAATGTTAATCAAGCCAGAGACCGAATTTAATTAAGTTGAGCTGCGTTGCAGAACTGCGGTTCAAAGTTAAAGATTCAAATTTGAACCGGTGGTATGCAGGTTGTTGAAATTCATAAAATTCGGTCCCAGAAAGCATAATTTAAGTCTGGGACTAATAATCATTAAACTCCATTTGTATCCAAATCTTGTTTTTAGTTTGAAATGTAAAGTTCCGTCAAAACATTACACGTGTAATACCACTTTAATGTTATAGGTCCATCTATCAGGGACAGGGTTAGATAATTTATATAAATAAGAAGCATATCTTCACATGGTTACCAACTCCAAATTTACAGAATTTTTTTTTGTTCCTGCATTTTCTCGTTTTCTGGAAGACGATATTTGGTCGCCATATTATCCTAATATTCGCTAAATCTAGGACAAACTGAGGAATGCTGAGAGAGAGAAGGGGCTCCACGCTTTCTTCAAGCTCCAGACCTCCATATCCAATACAAGCATGGTGCTCTTCGATCATCTGGGTTGTCTAAGGTCAAATCCGGGATGGGATGGGATGAATGGGATGGGATGGGATGGGATGGGACGGGACGGGACGGGACGGGACGGGACGGGACGGGACGGGACGGACAGGAAAGGTCCTTTTTTAACTTAAACTACTGCAGGAGGTTTGACTCTGTTGAGGAGATCCTCCGAGAGTTCTTCACCCTCCGTCTTGAGTTCTACGGGAAGAGGAAGAGGTACCTGGAGGGTATGCTGGGAGCTGAGGCCGCCAAGCTGAGCAACCAGGCCAGGTTCATCCTAGAGAAGTGCGACAATACGCTGACTATTGAGAACAAGAAGAAGAAGGTTATGATTGAAGAATTGCAGAGACGTGGATATGATAGTGATCCAATAAAAGCATGGAAGAAGTCCCAGGTATGTATAGTTTACTTGTATATAAATTCTAACCTCTAAATGTTTTTTATTTCCATTGGTCAACATTTTTTGTTGAGTTCATGACAATCCTTTGTAAAATGTGGGGTTTAACATGGACCTACATTTAAACAAGTTTTAAAACAGAGGGATTTAATGAAAATTGTTGAAAACCAAAAACAGCTTTTTATGAAGAAATGATTGTTTTGTCATAATTTTTTAAAGATTTAAATTTAGTATTTTAAACTTCCTTACCACCCTCTTCGTATTAAGACCTTTTAGCTTTGCTCACTAGTTTCTTATTTTTAAACCCGAAAATTCACCTTCCTTATAGAGCCATTTTTATGTGATTTTTCTTGCTTAATTGTGTAAAGTAAATGATATTATTGGGGTCAAAAGTAAAATAAAAGCGGGAAATTTTCCAATTAATGTTTAAATTTTCATTTCATTGGGATTGAATTTTGGATTTAATTGAGGATTTTTTTTTTCTCTTCTCTTTTTTTCTTTTCTCCTTTCTTTCTTGTTTCTTGGAATTTTGGATTGAATTTTGGATTGTGTTTGCTCTAGGACAACATGGACGAGGAGGCTGCTGGAGAAGATGAAGAAGCTGCAGAATCCCCTGCTGGAGGCCCAGACTATGATTACCTTCTAGGGATGAAACTCTGGTGTCTCACCCAGGAGAAGAAGGATGAACTGCTCAAGAAACTGTGGAAGGTGTTGACGCATAAACTAAATTTATATTCTCTAGGCTACCTCTAAGGAAGAACTGTGGAAGGTGGACCTGGACGCGTTCTTGGCTAAACTAGATGAAACAGAAGATGCGGAGCTAGCCGATGATGCAGGTTTAAAACGGGGCCTTTGATCATTATCATTTTTCTTTTTTCCTTAATTGAAATGACACAGTGGGTTGTTGGGGGATTACAGTTTGAAACTTAGACTGACTGAGAACCTAATCTTAATTGACCTCCCATTTGAAGAGCTAGATTACCGAATACCGATTCACTATGGAACCCTTAACCGAGTAACAAAGAGGAAGATATCATTGTTTTCTATTTGATAAAGTGTTAAATTCTGAAATGTTCCTTTTTTCTCTACTGCAAAAAACCCGCAAGTATTAATCTAGAACCCGGACTGGAAAGGNTTATTTATCAATATAAACATTCCTTCGGGCAGTATAGGAAAATATTCGCCCTTCCTTAGCTGAGTAGTGATTGTTATTAATATTATTTATCAGGAGCTGCTAAGCTAGGTAAGAAGGGTCCAGGAAAGAAAGGAGCCCTGAAGCTTGAAGCACTGCCTAGTCCTATGGGTATCCGTGTTGAACCAAGGATTGCTGACGAACTCAAGGTCAAGGTCGCCAAGGCTGTGGCTGCAAAGGCAAGGAAGGCGGACAAGGGGGACAAGAAGTCCGTGAAGAAGGAGGACGATAAGGATGAGTTTGATCTGATGACAGAGGATAAGGAGTTGAACAAGTAAGTACAAAAAACAATAATATGGAAAAATAACTAATTAATAATAATAATAATTAATACATAGAAAGAATATAACTAATTTTTTAATTCAGTGTTAATAGTTTTTAGACATTAAAGGGCTTCTTTTATAAGATATCCAATGAGGTTTTTTTTACGATAAAATATCATATTATCTTTAGATCACTGAGTGAGAGAATTGGAGCTGTAAAGAAGGAGAAACCGTTGAAACAAACAAAGTTAAACTTTGAGAAATCATCGCCGAAGAAGAAGGGGAAGAATCCTTGGAGTGATGATGACGTAAGTTATGAGGGGGGTCGGGAAAGGGGAAAGGAACTAGGGGGGAGGGAGGTATGAGGGAGGTAGGGAAAGGAACTAGGGGGGCAGAGGAAAGAAGCCATTGGGGATGGGAGAGGGAAAGGAACCAGTGGGACAGGAGAAAGAATCCATTTCATATGAAATAAATTTATTTCTTCATATGAAATTAATTTATTCCTTCATATTAAATTCATTTATTTTCTTCATATTAAATTCATTTATTTAAACTAAAATAATTTTTCCCACTATTGTCGATAAGAGTTTTTTTTTGACGAAAATATCAACCCTTGAATGATGATGTTGATTAGGATGAGGAAATTGATTCTGATGCTGATCTCCCTGATGTTGTTGACGATGTCATAATTCCTCGTGAGAAACCGGGCGGGCGGCGGGCTGCAGCGGCGGTAAGTATTAATTTATTAATGAAACCTATCTCGGGTTAAAACATTCGGTTTTGTTCGGAGTTCGGCCACGGCCATCACTTTGTCAATTATTCCAACGTGACCACGATCGTGACAATGACTACGATCATGACCACGACCATGACAACTTTCAAAACCGTTACTGTAACTGTGACCATGCCAAAGACCGGTAACAATTATCGTTACTATGACCATACTCAGGCTGTGACGGACCGAAAATTTTAATGTTACCATGATAAATGATCAACTTTGTCTGTGACCAAGTCTAAGACCTCGACAGGCCATGAACTAATGACCTGTGTGTTAAGGTGAAGAAGTATAACGTAGAATCTGATGAGTCTGGTTCGGATGAAGAACTCCACGACAATGACGGAGTAAAGGAACCGGAAAAGAAGAAACCGAAAGTATGCCCTCAAATAGAATAAGATTTTTGATTTCAATACAATTCCATGTCATGTCAATTTGTTTTATTTCATATCATTTAATTCAGAATTTTCCCAAAAGAAAAGAATATCAAAGAAATCAAACTTGAGACCGAATATAAAGAATTTGAGCCGCGGCTTAAATTTAATGTTGGTATCTTTCATATTTTTTTTTTTATTATTTAAAGAGTCAAATACTCAACTCTTTTTACTTATTAAAATTCAATTTCCAAATTTTTCCGAAAAAAGGAGGAATTTGATCTAAATATTTCTTTAGATCAGAGTTCACGTAGGTCAGATTCTTTTAGATCAAAAGGGTTATAGATTAAATTCTAGTGCACCAGTTTTTGACATTGGGTGGATTAATGCCTTTAAACATTTATAAGGCGTAAAATCTCTAGATCGATAGAAAAAAGCTTAAATTTGCTTTAAATCGAAGATTACTTTTTGATCACCTTTTTAACTCAAATTCCAAACATTTTAGATAAAGTTACATTTTATATCAAACTTGATACTTTTTTGTTCAAATTCCATACATTTTAGATCAAATTCCACACATTTTAGATCAAATTCCATACATTTTAGATCAAATTCTACACATTTTAGATCAAATTACATATATATATTAGATCAAACTCAAAACATTTTAGATCAAACTCCACACATTCTAGATCAAATTCAATACATTTTAGATCAAATTCAACACATTTTAGATCAAATTCCACACATTTTAGATCAAATTCAACACATTTTAGATCAAATTCCACACATTTTAGATCAAATTCAACACATTTCAGATAAAATTATTCACAATTGATATCAAATTCAACTCTTATAAATCAAATTCTGCCCAATTGAATTCAAACTTATTTTAGATAAAATTCTACACATTATTTAAATTAATTATTTATATTAAGATTTTATTACTCGCATACAATTACAAAAAAATGTAAGAGGCCTTTTCATTTCAAATGGGCCTCCATTTATTGAGGGTATGCCCGATATTGGCGGTTTTTAAGCTTAAAAGTGTTTTATTCTGACTATATTCTCCATTGTATCTGTAGCAAAATCCGCAAGTCATGGTTATCTCAGTCATATTTGATCCTACATAGCTTGAAAGCGTACCTTTGCGAATCTGACTTCCCACTTGTACTTGTTTAAAGGATATATTAACTAAAATGTTGTGCAGGCGGTAAAGGATAGCGATGTCTCAGATTTTGATGCTGACAGTGATATGGACGTTAGGTAAAGTTAGTCTTTCATTCTTGTGTTTTCTATTTGGACCCGGATCCGGCCTGTTAGAAATATATTCGGGTCCGTTCTGTTCAATAGTTTCCGGATCCGGATATCGAAAGATTCGGATCAGCTAATATTTTCATCGATTTTTAAATTTTTTTTTACTAAGCAACCTTTTCCTTTATTTTTCCTTTTTCAAACATGTTAATTGCATCTTAGTTTTACTGATCTCACGTAAACCCAATTATAAATTTTTATTTTTATTTAATAAAAAATTTGCACGATTGGATCAGGATCCTTGGATATTACATATTTTTGTGGATCCGTAATCCGTATACAGGGGATTAAAATATGACGGATCCGGATCCTGGGCGCTATCTAGACTACGACATAATGTTTGTTAAAGATTTTAAATATTTATTAAGTTTTATTTTTTTTTATTTAAAACGATAAATTTTGTATTCTAGGGAGGTCTCCCCACCACCTAAGCCTAAACCTGCTCCTAAACCTAAGAAGGCTGAACCTGTCCCTAAACCTAAAGTAAGTTTAAACCTTCACTACTAGACAAATGAGTTTAAAAATGAGTAAAAATTTTAATTTGATAAGTTGTTTGTTAATTTAAGACATTTTAAAATATCGAACTTAAGCACATAAGGAAACTCTCTGTAAAATGGAGTGTGTGGCAATCTCTACATTTCATAATTTGAGCATAGAGCTTCTTCTGATACTGCTGTTCAATTTTCATCCTCTCCCCCAGTACCCTCCTGAACCGTTGTATCCTCCGTATGGATGATAATGATAATGGCGGTCCCCATAGAAATGGTATTCCCCTTTTCCTAGATAAAAGGATATATAAGTGTCTTAAATCTACTTTTTTGTAAAAAACGTTTTTTAACGCAATATTTTTTCTGACTAAAAAGTATTAAAAATTGAGAAAACATGCCCCCCCCCCCCCCCCCCAAAAAAAAAAAAAAATTGTTCCAGAGGGGGGGGGGTGGTACTTTTGAATTATATCCCCTACCTAGATAGTGATGATGACCCCAACCTCCATGAGTTCCAAATTTAAGTAATGGAGTTGAAGAGCAGATATTTAGAATCTGAAAATAAGAGAAAAAGTGTTCAATATAGAATACAAGCTTGGGAACCCAGCTTTGGCTGGGAACTGAAATTTCTCACTACAAACAAACAGAGATTACTACTTTATATATTTAGATGTTGTCAAGATTTTTTTCAATCCCCTTTTTCTAAAGTAATGTACATTTCATTTTTGATGCAGATCTCAAGATCAAGAAATAAAGCTTTGGTAATAGCCATGTCATTTTAAATAAACAACAATCAAAACTGTAAATATAATATACAGAATTCTGTAATTTCAAGTAAACCTCTATTTAAAGCAGGTTTTGTCTGATTTACAACGGTACCCATAAACTTTTATCTGATCAAAAATTTGTCTCAAAATTTGTACCATTGTTTTTGTATCAAGAAATACGTGTGTCCCTTGGGAAACCAAAATTGAATATAACTAATTTTTCATGGAGCAATCATGGATATCTCGTTTGTTCTTATTGAAACTAAGCTTTTAATCGTACCATTGTAAATCCAGGGTGGCCAAAATGTACGGATTGTACGGATTGTACGGATTGATTTTTTTTTAACCCTAAAATTGTACGGATTGTACGGATTGCACGGATTGTACGGATTTGTTTTCAAATTGTACGGATTGTACGGATTTTATCCTGGAAAATACACCGTTTTTTTTAAATTTTCACTCATTTCAGCAAATTTTTCATGAAAATAAAAAAAAATTCTCGTCAAAATGAAGTTAGTTTAACTTATTTTCTGCATTCTAAATAATATTAGATTGATTAATGTTTCAATTGACAATCAAAATTCATTCATAATTTTCGAGATATGTCCAAGAAGTGTTTATTTGAGAATATGTTCCATAAGTACTTATTTGATTGCT